GATGCATACTGCTGAAGAGTCCCAAAATTAGGATGAAACAGCTGTTCACAGTACTCCCAGACTTTCCAATGGTTATCTAACCGATGTCTGCTCATGATAAAAGCCTGTAACTAGTTAACTTTGAATTGAATAAGCTAAAAATAAATGTAACCATTTACAAAAGGTATCTTGGTGAAATAACGCGTGAATTGTTTTATAGTTTGTTTTTAATACAAAATTATGTTCGTTCAGCCATTGGAACCAGTACCTGGATTTCAGTATACGTCATACTGTCGTCATCCTGAAAATCAAAATGCTATTGGTTTGTTATTAACCTGTTTTCTTTTGAATACTAATTTAATGATAATAACAACAATGAATGGTGTTCTTACTGCTAACATTCAGGGCTTAATTACAGCTGTACTTTTGATTTCTTATAATTATTGGTGTTTCATTAAACTACTTAACTAACGGAATTAAATATGGTGAAAATAACTGGCAAGACAGATGGTGGCATAATACATGAAAGTATCGTAAAGCTTCTGTCTTATCTGTACGGAAATAGTTTATTAGTACTCTTAACCTACATTGATAATCTTTATCTATTACCAAACGTAAAATTTCCTATCACTTTGTTTATTTGAAAAGACCTTTCATTTTCATATGAATTGATTTGACAAGTAAATGTGTGATTAGATTCGTGTTTGGAACATACTGCACAGATACATGACATTTTTCAGATAATCTCCGTCTTCTAATAACACTATCCACTATGGTTACATAGCCACTCAGCTATATCAAGCACTTTTACTATATCTACACTTCAATTTACTATAGTGAAGTAAATTTTCCATCTTATACTTTAGGCTCTATTCATGTTTTGGGTGATAGTTATATCTTATCTTACTGTGAGCATTTTACGTCGTATTTTCATCAAGGCCTCCAGAGAGGGCGGTACTATAATTCCCACAAACCCACTTTCCCCAGAGTCAGTATCCCCGCTGAGTAGACAACACCTCAGCGACGTTGCAGCATGAAAATAGGCACCCCAATAACGCTGCCGCAGCGGTAGGTGTTTTCCCACCCTTACTGCCCGGTCTCAACCAAACCGTGGCTGCTTCTCAGATGGTACATACTGGCCCACCTCAGCGGGTCATGACAACTCACATGGCCTGGTCACATAATTGCACTTCCACCTTGCAGGTAGCATACAACCACCGTCCTCGGATTAGGGGCAATTCCTTAAATCGACATAAGGCCGGTAAGAGCATCTAAAATGCCGACAATTCTCTCACCGCTGGCTCCCCTCCGCTGACCAAGACAAGAATGAATGAGGTATTTACTTCCACTGTTAATGGCCCCACTCACCTCATCTCGACCCATGAATCCATTCCACATCCCGAACCACCAGATGTCCGAAATGCTTCCTGAACAGGGACGATAGTAATACACATCTCTTTGGGTAGTTGTACAAAAATGTTCATTGTGGTCTGAGAGACTGGGTCTCCGGACAGCGGGCGATTACTCCCACGGCTGCTCTGCTCCCACTAAATCATAGGCGGAACCCTGACGCTTGCGCGCTCGAGCAACTGGAGGTCGCGCTACCTACTTGCGCTGTATCACCGGTTTTAAAGACCTACAACCAGCCACGGAGACCCACGACCGATCGCAGTCCAACGAAGCCTTAAAGGCCACCATCGACGAGCAAACTAATCTCGGAAATGATCCTCCCGCAGGTCGTCCGAAGGTTAGAATCAAGCTGCCCCGTTGTTATAGGGATACGAGACTCTCCCCAACATCATTCCCGCTCGGTTTTCATGACCAGGCTACCGTTCGCAGTCAATGCTCCAGTGCCCCCTAAGACGCCTAAGCACCAAAGAGGAGAACAACCAGAACAATCCGCATTCAGCATTCCCAAGGGCAAGAAATAGTTCACCCTCGTCCTCACAGGATTTAGCCAGGGCGGCTGGAAAACCACACCACCCAGCAGAAACCACGCGGAGGTACCTGTCAGCGCAACCAATGACTCAGGACTCTTGCCTTTAGCAAAAGAGTTATAGTTACTCTTATCTTACTTACATTTCATATTTGACAGTTTACTAAAAACATTGACATAATTGTATATGATGTACCTGATGCCATTAACCACATTCAAGAAACACAAGTGATCTAATAAGGCTGTGTATACCACTGAATGATGTAAGCGGTGAGAAGCCACTCACATTGATACATACAGAAATATTTCCCAGCCTAATCGCAGAGATGTGAACACCCGGTAGCATTGATTATTGTGTTGTGTAACTCATCAAAGGTATACCTGATTATGTATACTTAACTCAGAGAGCGAAAGCATTTTTTGTGTTCAACATGTACACTAAACATTTATTCACTGTTCATTCAGGGCATAGGACTCTGATGTGGTTGTGTTCTCTGAGCTGGATAGTTAATCTGCGAAGCTTTCATTGCCCTACCGGGAAACATCTTCAGCGCATACTTCAATTTGTTAAAGCGAGCTTTTAGATTTCTCCACGAGTTTATTAGTCGACTCTGCCAATCAGTGCTTTTCATTTTTGATGTCACCTGGATAATGCAACTTTCCCTGTTTTTTAAAAAAATTTACATATATAAACTCATTGCTCTACAAATTTTAAAAATACATACGACAAGATAACATAGATACAATACAAAATCACGTAATAGTTAAGACAGCTAAGGGGTCGTTTGAAAAAGGACTTCATTACCAAATATCTTGTCTAGCTGCCTGATGTCAGCGTTACAATCTAATAACTATTATTATACGTTATACTTAGATTATGAGTTTGTATGGAGATTAGAACCTACATCAGTTAGAAATCACTGCAAAATCAGGGGAGAATGGACAGTCGTTTCGTCCTATTTCATGCCTCTTCACAGTGCACGCCCACGACTCCAGTAGGAATCGATCTCTGGACACTCGCGTTACGAGACGAAACTCGTCGACTGTTCAGCCAAGGAATCTATGCTAAAATTAATCCATATTCCTATAGAAAATCCCATGATAGATACCATGAAGCTGTACTGAGAAGTCGGGACCAGCAGGGGTCTAATGTATATTAAATTTTTGTGATCAAGTTTTCAATGCTTATACAAACACAAATGGAAAAACATAAATGTATTACTGATTTAGTTTACGTAATTAATTCTGGATGTATACATGAATTAAAGGAAGTTTGAATGTGATAACCAAGTTAAACTTCTATTTGATAGATGGTAACTAGTAGTGAAATCCTAGACGCAGATCTCTTCCTATCTGAGACTTGCCATCCAGATGTATCAGCATTCTCAGTGAGTGCTGTTATCACCGATGAAACTCAAAACCAGCACCCAACGTTTCAAACGCTAAAGCGTTACACACTAGGCCACTTGAGCTAAAAGGGCAAGGAGAGCTCTGGGTTCGAGTCTCAGGGGGAATACCATCGTTCATTGAAAAATGTAGATACATCCAGCCAGTGTGTCTGAGTCAGGACAAAGTGAACATCCTTGAATCCACTGACAGTCTTTTTATGCCAAATAAGAACATGTTTATCTTGAGATATCGTCGAAATGTCCGTACTAGAAGGCAAAATTTAAAATTGAAAGATGTGGTTTTTGAGAACAGGAAGTAGTGTCTCTAAGTTATTTAACAGAATGCTGTTTGAATTTATCCATTTTAAGTATTCTGCGTTTTTCATTTACGTTTTCTTAAGTCCTTCATTCTTTTTCACGTGAATTGGTATCCAAACATCGTTTTATCTGAAGTCACAGATAATTATAATTATAAAGCGTTAAGCAGTAGAATGCTATAACTAATACTTATTAAATAATTTCACAGTGTAGATAACATATTACTGCACACTCACTGATTAATTTTTTTTAACAAAATATTAACTCTGATATCTTGATGAAAATCTCTTCATTTTGGTGGAACATTATCTTTAGCAAGTATACTAATGCATATTATATATATTAAAATTATTACACACAAGAATCAATGAGTAAATCTCATTTTATACTGCGTAAATTTCATGAAGTCGCTTATACTTCGAAACTTATGAGTTTACTGGGTACATTCACTCGGTGGAATATGTTTTCTATGTAGAACAGAATGTTAACTGATATCATTAATTTATTATTTTTTTGATAAACCTATTTAACTGTCATTCATTTTGATTACTAGTTGTGCCTGATTTCTTATAACATGGAGTTGTATTTATCTCGGGTCTTTGCAGTAGGGCAACATACTCATTATTCAGTGTAATAACTCATTCCGCAGTGTCAAATCATGTTCAGATTATCTAATTGTTTCTGTAAAGTAGTCCAAGGGTTTAAATGGGTGAGGGCGTTTGTGTGGTCCTGGCTAGATTACCACTCAGAGTACCCCAAAACCTCTCTACTGGCTTTCCTTGCCAGTAGTAAGTCCGGAAACGAGAGGAGGTTGTACATGCGGCTAGGAAACCTTTCTTGTGAAATTAGCAACGCAAGCGCCACTGAGACTCCAAAGCGCACAGCTTGAATCCATATGTTCTGTTGTGAAAGCAAGGGAATGAAATATGGTTTTATGGGGTTTTATTTATAAGGCAAATCATAATAAAAAGTTTCAAAAGGCATAGCCACATCTACGCTTCGTAAGTTACAAACTGGGTTTTTTTGAAAAAAGATCAGTAATCGTTCTTACTTTCTCAATTACTTTAAGACACAACTTGAAAGTTTATCATAGAAGAATCCCACCTAGAAAAGTAGGAATCCAAGGACTAAGAATGTGTAACGCTTTATTCTGTAGACAAAAGATAATGTAGACTGGTACAAAACAGCCGAGTATTCGTAGAAATTTTCGATTGTCCTAAAAGCCTTCAAATCTTTCCTCATCATAAAATACATACGTCTGAATTATTTTATCATCATCCTGTAAAAGTCAGCAAAACAATAGGTATATATATAGTTGTTATTCCTTTAAATAGTTTTCTGTCAATCCTTTCAAGTGGCTAAGCTTCATTTCTTTCCAGATTCAAGAAACAACTATGCCTTACAGTATTTTGGAAAAGATTCAATTTGCGTGGAACCTGACTCCTTACAGGTACGAGTCAGTATTGTAGGAGGGTTTTATAGAATACTGAATACGCCAAGTTGTCACAAGGTAAGAAAATTATACCACAATAGTGGTACACATTTGGTTTCTAGGAAATTATAAAAATATGAAGGCTTTTCATTCTTATCGTCGTAGGTGACTTCAATATTGGAATGTATTCATTCTAAAAGGGTTTTCTTCTACCGTAGTTTCCCAGTAAAAGAAATACTCTCTACTAAATGTAAGTGTTGGAAAGAGGTTAAACTGCTGAATTCTGAGACAGTTATTTAGTCCACTTAATTACTGATTAATGTGAGACATGTGCGTCGGTGGCACAGCGGTTAGGATGTTCGCCAACCATGCACATGGTCTGGGGTTCGATCCCCGGCCGACACACCCCTTTACCTCGCTAAGCCAGAAATAAAGCTGGTAAAGAGGAAAGATTGGGCATGAGGCTAGCAACCTCATCCTGTAAAAATAAATACTGCTACATAAACTTCAAGCCTCTAACTTGAAGCCCTATGTTCCTCTGGAAACATGAAGGAATGAAAAACGATGAAACAGATTAAAGGCTCTTCCGAGTGTCAGGCCAATCTTCAAATAGTTTAAAAACAAGGCACATGAGCATAATTAGATAATTAGTATTCCTTTAACCCGTATTTTGCACGGAATTCTGAATAGAAATGCTCTTTACCATGCCATTTAACTTACATAATTAATAATTAGGTCAAATGTAAAGCCAGGTGGTGTGTAGAAGTGAAGAAAAAAAACTCACATGAATTTAGAAGTCTTTGTTGAAAAGGTTAGCTATTACTAGATTCTATTCATCTTATTTAAACTCACCTGACTGTTCATATTTCTTATGAAAAAGCTTCATTTCAGTTGAACAGTACCTTGATTTAGAAGGTTAATAATATTCTGCTTTCCTGTGTGATTGAAAAAAAGCTCATTTTCTCTAAAATTAAATTAACTGACTTGTGAATCTTTGACCTGGATATTACAAGTTACGCAATTCTATTAGGCTGTACAACTCTTACTGAATTCTATTCACTACTTAAATCAATAAATCACATTTGTCACATAAAAATTTTGTTAAATAATCTTATCTTCATTTCGGTTTCATAGTATACGTGCACAGGTTCTGGGATTACCTTATTAATTGGAAGTGGGAATTTCTCATGTTCAGGTGATGGTCAATCTATCGCAGTTAATGCTTTTGACAGTAGTATTAATGTTAGAGGATTAGCTCTATGTCCCACTTGTAATGGATTATGCAGTGTAAGTATGCAAAAAGAAAATACTATTATTCTTAATATCTTTGTATCTTTCTTTTAAATCTTTTTAATAATATTCGCATAACACATTTGAAACCTTGGATTTTTATATTTGATCGCAGATCATTTGAAATTAGGATAAGCTTGAAAGGTACTTCAGTGATACTCTGACTGCGGTTTTTCATATTAGGCTTGTTATTATTATATTATTATTTCCTTTAATTCTTAGAGGAACATAGGGCTTCAGCCATGCGTCTCCATTGCATTCGGTTCTCTGCTAGAGTTTTCACCTGCCTCCAAGTCTGACCACATGCTGTCATCTCCTCTTCACATGACCTCCTCCAAGTCACCCTCACACTGACGACCAACTCGCCGTTTCCCATTCTGTCAGGTTCCACTGGAGCAATGGCTTGTCTAGTGATATTACTTGATGGTTTCCTCAGAGTATGGCCAATCCATCTCCATTTCTTCATGCCTAGTTGTTTCACAATCGGTTCCTGGTTGGTTTGCTCCTAGAGATCTATGTTGCTGATCTTTTCTAGCCATCTGATCTTGAGTATTGAGCGAAGACAACTGTTAATGAAGGTCTTTAGTTTGTTTGAGATGGTCTTTATGACACGCCAAGTCTCTGATCCGTATAGTAGTACTGACTTCACATTGGAGTTGAAAATCCGGATCTTATTTTCATACTGAGTGCTGTTGACCTCCACACAGACTTGAGAGTAGTGAAAGCTTTCCTTGCTTTACCGATTCTTGCTTTGATATCGTCGTCAGTTCCGTTCGCCTGCAGTTGAAACGATGCTTCCTATGTCGGTAGGTAAAAGAGACGAAGTCTAGATCCTTCAAGTTTTTTGTGTGAGTCCATTTATGCCTGTTTCCTCACTGCCCGCTGTTTGTGGCATTATCCAGTCTACTGCAATCAGGAAAATCATTGGAGATAGTAGACAGCCAGCCAGCTTATCTTACTCCCGTCTTCACTTCTTCGAAGTATTCCGTGAGTTTCCCGTTGTGGATTACTTGGCATGCAGCATTGTCGTACAACTGTTGGATGAGATGTATGATGGTTGGCGCCACCCCTTGGTGGTAGCGAAGCAGTTCTCAAATCACCTCTGTTGTAGGCCTTTTCAAAGTTGATGAAGTTGAGATAGAGAGGTGACTGCCATTCCACACATTGTTCAATGATGATCCGTAGTGTGGCGATTTGATCAACACATGACTTGTTTCTCCTTTCATTTAGTTTGTTAGGTTTAAAATTATATCAGTGGACGCATAATGACTGAAATTCACCTCTATACCAGAGTATAGTCATTCTGGTGACTACCTGCTCTTTTCTAATATATGTTAGCTCAATATTCATTATTATAGAGTAAATTCATTTGATATAAGCACAAAGTGGTTTTGTACTATTTATTGATTGCTCATAATTATATCAAGGCACTCATATAACTTTCAAATTTTGATTATATGATTCCGGTATCCATTATCTTCTGATTTAATCTGTCTTGACCTATTCCTACTGTACATGTTTGATGTCTATTCGATGAGCAGAGATTCAGATCCATCAAACTATATTACTTTCGAGTACTGTAGCTCTATCTCACTCTGTTGTGTGATTGTGTATCAATGCATGCATTGTAGTTGATGAGTTTTTCTCTAAACCATTCTTTTCCGTGAGTTTAATCACTCTACACCCAGCTTATTTCTTAAGTTACGATAAATTGACAGCCCCAAAAATGCTGGTCTGATATATGCAGTTAACCCCGAGTAAATTTGTAGGTTTCAATGCCACTTTAATTCCTGCTGTACTGAAAACTCTACTTATGGAGTATGATTAATGCAACGGCGGTATCAGATGTATTACTATTATAGTATTATTGTTCCCTTGGGTTACAAGTGAAACATAGGGCTTCAACAGCACGTCTCCACTAGCTTCTGTCTTCTGCTGTACTTTTCACCTGCATCCATGTTATTCCATACTGTTTCAACTCCTCTTCACACGATCTCCTCCATGTCACCCTTGAACATCCCACTCGCCGCTTCCCTTTCGGGTTCCACTTGACCATTGGCCTGACGCAAGATGTCACCCAGCGATCTCCTCAGCGAGTGTCCAATCCATCTCCACTTTCTCCTGCACATTTGTTGAGCGATCGGTTCTTGTTTTGTTTATTCCCATAGTTTCTTGTTGGTGATTCTTTCCGGCCATCTGATCTTGAGTATAGAACGAAGACAGTTGTTGATAAAGGTATGCAACCTGTTGGAAATGCTCATTCTTGGTGACCCGTCAACTTTCTGATCCGTATAGAAGAACTGACTGACTTGACGTTTGTATTGGAAATCCGAATTTTGATGTTGAGTGTTGCTGAGTGACGAAGATTTCCAGATTGGTTTCAGGTTGATGAATGTGTTTCTCGCCTTCCCGATTCTCGATTTGACATCCTCGTCCGTTCCTCCCGTAGTTGGTTGAGACAATGCTCCCTAGATCAGTGAAGTGAATGAAGTAACCTCTTTCAAATCCCTCCCGTTGATGGTGATTGGCACTGGATTTTGCTGCTGCTGCTGTTGTTGGTTGGTTGGTTATTTTCATGACCTCCGTCTTGTCTATGTTCACCTGGAGTCCTGTCTTTACCGGCTGCTTCTTCGACCAGTTTGTCGATTTTCGCTTGTAAGTCTTCGATTTTGTGTGACATCAAACATAAATCATCCACGCGCGAAATCCAGGTCTTCTAGATTCTTCACGTGGGTCCAGGATATCCCTGTCTTCTCGTTTCCCACTGTCTGATGCATAATCCAGTCCACCACAATTAGGAATATCATTGGTGATAACAAGCACCCTTGTCTGACTCCTGTGTTTACTCCAAACGCTTCGCTGAGTTTTCCGTTGTGGATCACTTGACATGTGCCGTTGTCGTACAGCTGTTGAATAAGGTTGATGAATATTTGGGGTACGCCGTAGTACTCGAGTAGTTTCCAAATTACTTCGCGGTCAACGCTGTCGAAGGCCTTCTCAAAGTCTATAAAGTTGAGGTAGAGGTTTGATTGCCATTCCATGCTTTGGTCGATGATGATGCGTAGAGTTGCAATTTGGTCAGAACATGATTTTCCTTTCCTGAATCCAGCTTGTTCTGGTCGGAGTTCTGTATCCAGTGCGTCCTTTATTCTCTCCAGGATGATGCGCCTCAGAATTTTACTTGGCGTTGACAGGAGCATGATTCCTCGCCAGTTCTTGCAGAGTCCCAGGTCGCCCTTCTTTGGTAGTTTCACGAGGTAACCTTTCCTCCAGTCAGTAGGCACCTTTCCCTCCTTCCAGATCTTTTACAATAATGGAGTCAGCATATCTGCTGTCGTCTCCGGGTCTGCTTTCAGTGCTTCCGGGGGTATTCCATCTGGTCCAGCTAGAATTTTTAATCCATTTGTGCGTTGAAGTTTTTGTATCAATTTGGTTAATTTTTGGGGGTGGAGTTGCTAGCACCACGCCCCAACCCTCCCTCTTTATCCGGGCTTGGGACCGGCTAGAAAACTAGTGATCTAGTAATCTAGGCGATGTATATGGGAAATATTACTACCAATAAAATTAAAATGACTTGAAAGGATAGAATTATGTAAATGAAATTTGAAAGTTATGTGAATACCTTGATATAATTATGAGCGAAAAATTGTACTCTAAATGTTATCAGTGAATAATGCTCGTTAGTTATGTGCTTTTATCAAATAAATTTACACTTTGATGAAATTCTACTTTACCACAGTGCACAGGTTCTGTTCTTACAATAATATATATATGCATAAAGTGAACAAGATTGTTTTCAATTTGTGCATACCCAATGCAAGTTCATTGGTTCTTCATCCTTATAATAGGTCTGTATGTCTGTCTGTCTGAAATCAAACTGTCCATTTTACTTCTTTTGTACTGTTACGTGAATTTCCATTTCGTAAAATTCAGTTTTATTTAACTACTTTTAGACCATATCAACGCCTGCATCATTTAGTTTACTTCTGCTATCATTAATATCCTTATTATTATTATTCCTGCATGTATGTGTATATATTTATATACGCTAAGGATGAATCGATGTTCAGTGGCTCAGTAACAAGAAATAGTGTATAGTCATTATTAATACTGATAGGGAGAAGGCTTCACAAAATGCACATCTACGCACATCTGTGCTGATTTGAAATAAATCATCTGGTCTCTCCTTATATATATAGAAGAAAACTTAAAAAACTGACTAATATTTAAAGATTTGTGAGAAAATAACTTTTCACCGTTTTCATGTCCTTAATAACATACTGGTAAGTTCCGTCCCAAGTGGCTAAATGGTCACGCAGCTTGGTCTAGTAACTTGTAGATGCCGGTTTCGACTGCTGGTGGGTTTGTGTAAGAGCACTGCTCAATAGCCCCAACATACGACAAGATAACTGTCCAGTCCTCCCCGGTTTCCAGTGATCTGTCTAACTGATGTTAGCTAGTGGAGAAATCTAACAACTGGAATTAAAATATATTAAAGTCAGCTTTTCTTGAAGGGATAAAAGTGCTAATGAAATATCGTTCTCGGGATTCTCTTATCTAGTTTCTTTTAGTTGCTATTCACCTCACTGTCTTCATAATAATACCACTGAGGTTGTTCACAAAATTGTTTTTGATGGAAACACTATCTTTTTTTGGTTTTTCTGAAACATAACTGGAGAATTACTTGATGATTTATTTATCAAACAGCAGGTATAATGTCCTATTAATTTAATATTCTGCAATTTGCGTGTGTGTGTGTGCGTGGCTTGTCCTCATCAGTGTACTGGTGCTTGTGTTTTAAAGTATTTTCTGTAGTTTTTCTAACAGTACTTTTAACATAACATCGGTACCCAAGATAAACGGATAATACTGTCAAATAGAAAAATTATCATAAGGCAATCTTTATTATTGGTGATATTTTTGACAAATTAAAATAGCAATATCTGCATTGTGATAATATAAATATTCCTTTTTCTGGTAAAAAATAAAAGATTATGACAAAAAGGATTACATACTCAGCAAACTCTTCTTTACACTAAAACATGGTAGCTTTCTCATTGAAGATCGAAAGCCTAATTAACATCATTAAGTTAACATAAAACTATATTAGAAACTGATACTTCTTATTTGTGTCAGAACATTGATAAGCTATGGTTAAATGTATGCCCTATAGTGATGTTAACTGTAAAATCTTATGATATGCAACGCTTCATCGTGATGCTGCTTGTGTGGTGAGAGCTGTCTGCAAGCCAAAATTGGTAGACAGAGATGCACGTCAATGTTTACGTCCTAAATCTTGGTCATGAGAAAAGAAACCAAGACCAAAGACTGACTCAACAACCAATCACAGCAGACTTAGCGTGGGCGGATACGATTCGCAGATATATATGGTCTGACCTTCGAAGAAACGGCCACAGAGAGATGATAGATTAACTTTCAGAGAGAAAACAACCAATCAGAAGACGCTGTTTCTCTGGTAATAAAAACGAATAATAATGTACATAAAAATATATAAGTATCTGTTGATTTTCTCAATAAAGAACGATCTGTTGCCTGGCCGTTGTCTTCTGTCGTTACACTTTTATTGTACAACGGAATATCTTTATATTATTAATAAAATGTGGGACATTTCCATGTTATTCAAGTTTCAATATATGTTTTGTTTTTCTTCATTCAGCCTTGCCCAAACTTTACATCTACGAGTTTTGGAAATCTAATATCTCGTATACGGAGAAATGATAAACTACTAATTTTAAATGTGATTATATTACTCCAGATTTTGGATTACTTACATTTTTGATAGGAAAGTTAAAGAACACTATAAATGAGTATTTCGAATTTATCATGAAGTGTCGACTTCTTATACTATAACTTTATTTATCTATTTTAATTACGAGTTTTAAATAAAAAGCATTATATATATAAATGGATGTTTGTTTTTTTCTAATTTGTGACTTTACGCTTACAGAACAGTGAACAAATATAATGGACTATCATTTGCCAAAGTGTAATAACACTACATAAATAGGCTGTTCGTTTATTTATGCGATAGAATATTAATATAATTTGAAGTAATCAAGATGTCGGAAATGTAGAAACATTAGAAGTATATTCTGGGAATATTTTCTTCAGAAGTGGTTGTACGCATACATGCACACCGGTGTTTACAAATTCACTAAGATGACACAATAATCTGCCTGCTTAGTGATTATTTATGTTGTTCATTCCTGAATATATCGTATTGAATACTCGACTTAATAATTTTTTTTGTGTTTTGACGTTTCTGTAGCGGCTGAATTGATTTTCCAGATAAGAATGTCTAGCCTCAAGACTAACTTTCCTTCTTTTCTCCTCTTGGGAGTAGCTAGTAAGCTAATGTCAAGTCAGTTCTTCTACATTGTTCAGAGATTCACAGAGTCACAAAAGGCATTTCCAACAAGCCACTGCAGACTTTTATCAACTGCTATTTTCGCTTCTTGCTGAAGATCGGATGGCTCAGTCAGTAAGGGTTAGCAACAAGAAACTCAGGTACTGAACTAACCAAACACCCATTACTCAGCAGTTATGCAAAACAGGAAATGGATGTGAACTGGACACATGGAGGAGACCGTTGAGTGACATCGTCCGCCAGGCCAGGTGTCAAGTGAAACCCGTGTAAGAAAGGACAAAGTTGGCTTTGATCTGAGAGTGACGTGGAGGAGATCATGTAGTGAAGAGATGAGAGCTTACAGGCAATCATGAAGCCAACTAAAGACGACTGTAGATAACAGGGAGAAATGGAGATGTGTTGTTGAAGACCTATGTTCCACTGCAACCTAGTGGAATAAAAACAATAATAATACTGGATTTATAACATTTGACCACTAGTTGAATAACAGACTGCTTTATTGTACAAAGCCTAGATTGAGCATTCCTTTCACACTGTGTACAATTATTCAAGACATTACTATGGCAATCAGTTACAAGTAATTAAGACTGAGCACTTCCGTTCGCTGCGATTCAGTGTGTATTATGAATGTAGACAATTTTAGGTAAACCTTAGGTTGATAGTTGTTTGTTGGTTATTATACAATTTAAGAACCAACAGATCAACGAAAAGTCTCTTTCCGGAGAATTGATTGTATGCATGTGTAAATCAGGTCTGTCAGACAAGAACAAATATTAGTTATGGCATTGTTAACATCATCAAAAAGTGTGATGAATAATCAAATTGTAACCAGAGGGTGAAGATTAGTATGTCTTGACTGGGGTTGCGTTATATGAAAGATATCCGGAAAAATTGGATGCTAGTGAAACAGCATGGAGACCAGTGTCCAAAATAAATTGTGTTGTAGGTTGAAAGAGTAAATAAGGGGTCAGTTAAGAAGAAGAGATGCTACCAAAATGTAATACGCAAATTCAATGATAGTTTTCATAACAAAGCATTCGAACCTAGGATTATGTCCTAATTAGATGGAGGAGATGGAGGAGTTTCTTCTGTGTACATAAATCAGGGTTTCCTAACCGAATCGCCAAGGCCTTGGCAATGCAAAGTCTACGGAAGCTTGCTGTTTTCAGGAGGCTTCTTTTGACTTTGAAGATGACTTTGAATGAATTCTCCTTACATAAAGTGGGTGATCAGTGTTGAATATATGTTCAATTGTAGCATTCCTTATTGATCCACTATTACCTTTTCGTAGCCAAGTGTTTTTTGACACTTTCGGATAAACTCACATCGGATGACCTACAGATGTCCCTCCAAATACAAAGCAAATTATGAGATACATATAAAAGTAATCAAATGCAAATAATTTATCTTTAGAGTTATTAAAGGACAGTGAGTGATATGAGAATACCATTCGCAATGTAGCATCAGAGAATGGTCCTTCGAGGCATGAGATATTCTCCTCATTAGGATGCAAGTCAGCAGGTAGCCTTTGAACGCCACATTCATGTATAGTGTCTCTTTTGGCATAGAGAAGGGTTGTTCATTATTGAGTTTCGGGCTTTATGTGTTTATCCATAAAGCGTGAGGCATAGCCATTCTCAAGTAAAAACTCCTCCATCCCTTCCTTCTAATTTGGATATAATTCCAGGTTCGACTGCTTTGTCAGGAAAACAATCATTGAATTTGCGTATGACATCTTAGTAACATCTCTTCTTCTTAACTGACCCCTTATTTACTCTTTCAACCTACTACATAAATTATTTTGGACACTGGTCTCCATGCTGTTTCACTAGAATCCTATTTTTCTGGGTGTGTTTCATATTACGCAATCTCAGTCAAGACTTACTAATCTTCACCCCCTGGTCACAATTTGATTATTCATCACCTTTTTGATGACGTAAACAACACCATAACTAATTTTTATTCTTGTCTGACAGACCTGATTTACACGCACGCATACAAAACCAATTATCTATAATTGTGATTGTACATCTGAGTGAATGAATTCTCTGGAAAGAGACTCTCCGTTGATCTGTTGGTTGTTACTTCAGTGTCTGGATGCGTCTTTTCCGTAAAGTATCGTAAAGTTGTAATACCAAGTTGGTTAGTGCAGGTAAATCTTTGGTCATTCAAAAGACTCCTTTTGCCTTTGCTTCAAGTTGACATTAGGAATAGCAAAATCTGGTTCTCATGTTTTTATGTCCTAACTATCCAGGACATAGTAGAAATCAGAGAATTTTATCATAGCACTGGTGCTTGTAATAGTAACTGCATTACTGTGGAAGTGAGAACTTTCAATCTGTAGTTGGAGAGGAAGACTTAAAGATTCTTACCACAGGTGTTAAGTAGTTTTCGAAGTACACACTTAGTAGTGGTCATAATAAGTTGCAGATATTGCCTTAATGGTTTTCTAAACAGTAATTTCTGTGAATATCGCCAGAATAAATCCCAATATAGTTTGTATTATACTAAATGGTATATTACTTACTAATAGGAAAATAATTAAGCAATTAAATACTGAAATATGTTTGTTAACAAAAGAGCGTTATGTATGCATGCATAAGCAACTCAGAAGATAATCATCTGAGGAAGGGATGACTGAAATGATGCTCGCGGTCATGTGTTATTGCAAAACTCAAAATATAAGGCGATTTTTTAATTCATAAAACAAATAGTCAGAAAGCGAAACGAATGATTGTATGAATAATTTCTTTTATTATATAAAGGTAAATTAACGTGACCGATGCTGTCTGTCAGGAGTAATGAAATGAAATTTTCAAGCATACGCTAACATTCGTACTTCATGTATTTTACACGTGTTTTTTTATATGCTCACTAACGAATTACTGGTTATTTAGCTGTCTATAATTATAGTTTGGAAATTAGGGAAACTATTTTTCTGTGAGAGAACATTTTTCATTTAATGTCTTTGAAACTAGAAGAAACCACAACGTTTGAAACATGTGATGATTCATTTACAGCGAAAAGAACGTTGTTAACATTATAAGATATCTGGCGGACTGCTTAAGTCACTGGACTGCCAGAAATTCCATCCACCAAAATGCTTAAACTCTTTTGGAATTCTTATTGTTTTACTCGTGCAGTTATGTCAGATGACCAATACAAGGACTCGCGTGCATATTTAATTAGTTTTCCACTATGCGCTATGCAATTTTCGAAGGAACCGAAGAAAAAAATGCAGCAACACTACGACAGATGATATACTTCAGATTATTGCTTTACCTGTAAATTCTCTCTAAAAAGGAAATATTTTGGGGCTAAATACGCTGAAAATTCCTGAAATATATGTTCACATACTGTCTGAAATAAAGCTTTACTATTGTTATGATATACCTTGTAGTTTTGTCTTCATTCAAAATGAATGTTTTGGGGCCTTTTACTTTGTTCCTATCTGCTCAGATTTGACTGTCCCTCTACATATGGTTACAAAGTTAGAATCCGGATTTAATTTTTTGCAAAATCTTTACTTACTGACGAAATATAAGTAGCATAAGATATGACCTAAATGTTTAGAAGCATCCCAGTTTGGTCATTCCTACCCATCTGAAAACATGTTTGACAATAATATGGTCGGCGACTTGTCAATTTAACTACTATCCAATATAAATAAGGGGAATCAGTTCCTATAGGAGTCTGATACTTCAATATCATGTTTTATAGAGTCTTCGTATAAGCTTTTCGATGAAGTTAAATAAGTGGGAACGCATGAAATCCCAAAGATAGCAGTGGTGTGAATTTCAAAAGTTAAGTGTTCAACAGTGGTAGGACAATAATCATCAAAGCAGCAATTGACTGTGGGTTACAGTTCAGAAAGATCGATAATATTAGTCTGTCTGGATTGCAGAGATATGAACAATGTTTACAACTCGTCACAGATAATAATAACAGAGAATATACGAATCATAATATTCCGCAGACTATCCGTAGACCACAATCCCAAATATTATGGGAACAGTAAATGATAAGTGCTGATATGGACAATAGAATTTTGAATATATTTGTGCGTTGAAGTTTTCGTAGCAATTTGGTTAAGTTTTGGGGGTGGAGTTGCTAGCACCACGCCCCAACCCTCCCTCTTTATCCGGGCTTGGGACCGGCTAGAATACTAGTGACCTAGTAATCTAGGCGAGGTTAAGAAGCTATGGGAACAAACGAAACAGGAACCAATCGCCCAACAAATATGCAGGAGGAAGTGGAGATGGATTGGACACTCGCTGAGGAGGCCGTTGAGTGACATCGCGCGTCAAGCCCTCGAGTGGAACCCGAAAGGGAAGCGGCGAGTGGGACGTCCAAGGGTGACATGGAGGAGATCATGCGAGGAGGAGATGAAACAGTATGGAATAACATGGACGCAAGTGAAAAGAACAGCAGAAGACAGAAGCAAGTGGAGACGTGCAGTTGAAGCCCTATGTTCCACTAGGAACCCAAGGGAACAATAATAATAATAATGATATGGACAATA